TTTTCTAAAAGCACATATTATATTCTATGATTTAAGAAAAAATCTTAAAATTTTAATAGAAAATAAAAAAGTTATTCTATATGTTAATAACGTACATCTATTTTTTTAATAGTTACGAATGCTAATTTGATTATCCGCGATATCTAATTAAAAGACGTAGATCTATTAAATTTATAATTAGCTATATAAATAAATTCAAGATTTTTAAGCTTAGCCCTATCTTATTCTATTATACTCGTATTATTTAGAAGTAAGTTATCTCGCTTAATAGCGTCGAGAGAATCTATTAATTAATCTACTTAGATCTTCTAGAAATCGTATTAAAATATATCTTATTTTATAGAGAAAGAAGTTAATAGAGCGATATACTCTTCTATTAATTAACGAAATAATAATAATAATAACTCTATATATATATACGTAACTTTCTAAATCGTTATACTACTTAACTAAGTAATAAGAAATCTTAAATAATTTCTCTATTAAGTATTATCGTTCTCAAGTAAGAGATAATATTATATTTATTCTTCGTTAAATCGATACTTTTTAAATCTTCTTTATCGATATTATAATACTTAATAAAACGATCTTTCTAAAATAAATAAATCGTAGATAAATAAAGAATATATTAAAGCGTTATTTAGAGCGTTAGAAGATCGTTAGAGACTATATTATAACTATAAAGAATTTCAAGTAAAATTAAACTAATAAAAGATACTCTCGAGAAGATATATTTATTCTTTAAAGTTATTACTATCTTTTAGTAAAAGATAAAATTTTAATTTATCTTATTAACGGCCTAACGAACTATAACTTACTTATTTCTATATCGATTTATAGAGAATTTCCACTTTCGCTTTAATTCTTCTCTAATCTTATCTTTAAAAACTTTACTTATACTCTTAATTTCTCGTTATTATAGCTATAAATCGTTCTTTATAGAGTTCTATAATAACTTAATTTAATATAAATTCGACGAATTAGAAGCCTAATCGAGCTTCTTAATATTACGTCGTTCTTATTCTTTAATATAGAATTTTACTACTTTAATATAAATAAAAGTATTATTCTTAATTACTTATATATTCTTATTAAGATTTCTAACTATAACTTTCTTAGCGTATTTATATAAATAAATTAATAGAATATAATCTTTATATTACTCGATATCGATATTATAGTCTTTAAATACGAGAAGAGATATATACTTAAAAATCTACTTTAGATTTCGTTATTTTTTTAGATCTTTATTATATTTATCTTTATTACTCTCTTTAAGAAGATAATTATAAATCTTAATAATACGATTCTTATTCTATAATCTATTAGTATTTCTTTTATATAAAATATAGAGTAGATATTATCTTAATAAGAGTATATTCTAATATTCTTAGAATTACTATAAGATATCTTTTTTTTCTCTTAAAGTTCGTAATTTCTTAATACTATTTCTACTTTTAATTTATATCTTTTAATAGTAGTACGTACTAGTTAATAGTACTATAATTCGATATTAAACTTCGTAAAATAAGAGACTTAATATATTTATATAAATTATACTAAAGTCTTAACTATAGTCTATAGCTATAATCTTAATAGATTTTTCTTTCTTTATTAAAATATATCGTCATTTATAATTATTACTTTAAATTTTATAATAATACTTATTATTAATAATAAAGATAGAATCTTTATTAAGCTCTTTAAGAAGAATAATATAAAGATTTATTCTTTTATACTCGTTAAAATAGTTTAATTATAACTTCTTTAACTTTATTTTATACTTAATTCTCTTTATAATATAATTATTCTCTACTTCGTATATATATTAAAGAGTTACTCTTATAAGTAAGAATCTAGAGATTAATAACTATAATCTATCTTTATCTTATTTCTATTTTTTATTAACTCTAGAAATTCTAATATTCTCTTAATTAATAGTCTTTTAATAAGAGTTATATAAATACTTAAGTATAGTTTAATATATTATTTTTAAGAGATTTAATTAGTCTTCTATTCGGGTAAAGACTCTAATATAATTTTCGTTATCGAGATATATTAAAATATTATTAAAATCTTTATTCTTAGCTCTAATAATTACTTTTCGCATAATAGCAATTACGATAAAGACTTTTATATTTATTTTTCGCTCGATTTCTTTAAATTCTTTAAAGATATAGTAATTTATAAATAGTTATAGCTATTTTAAGAGCGTAACTAATCTTAATACTATATAAAGTTATAAAATAATAATATATATAATAGTTATAGTAAAAAAAAAATAAAAAATAGAGCTATTTACGAAGAGCGAGTATTAAAACGCTAAAATTTTAATTAGATAACTTACTTTTAAATAATACGAGTATATATTAATATAATATAAAAGATATTAATTAATCTATATAGTCTATAGATATATATATATATATATAAAGAGAGACGCGCTAAGATCTAATTAGAAAGGTAAATTAATATATATAAAAGAATAAGATAGAGCTAAATTAGAAAACCTTGAATTTATATATATAGCTAATTATAAATTTAGGGTTATTACGCCTTTTAACTAGATCGGCTAAGTTATCGCGGGTAAATAAATTAGTATCCGCAACTCATTAAAATCTCGCTCTCCCGCGCCTTCTTATTAAAAATTAGATATACGTTATTAACATATAGAATAACTTTTTTATTTTCTATTAAAATTTTGAGATTTTTTTTTAAATTATAGAACGAAATGTGGGCTTTTAGATAAAAAAATAATTTTTAAATTTAGTCTTATAATTATTAAAGCGCAAGGAATTCAAATATCGCTTATTAAAGTTCGCTCGACAGCCGGACAGCCCGCTCACCAAAGTTCGCTCATCAAAGATCGCTCACCTATTTACTCGATAGCCCTGATCAAAAAAATGATTATGAATTTAATTTATAGGCCTTTACTCGTCGAGTATAAAGAATTAATTCGTAATAAAATCTCTATCTCTACTTTTAATTATTTAATAACTTTTTTCTTTAATTATAGATCGTAATTTACGCTTTTCGAATATTTATAAATCTTAAAATTTAGTCTTATAATTCTTTAAAAGTAACGAATTCAAATATCGCTTATTAAAGATCGCTTATTAAATTTACTCGATAGTTATAATTAAAAAAATAGGCTATAAATTTAATTTATAGGCTTACTCGTATATACTAATATTTTTAAATATTAAAAGTTTAAAAATTATTATATTTATAAAGATAAGTAATAGTTATAATATAATAATTATCAGATAGAGCTTGAACTTACAAGTGTATAAGCTGACAAGTGCATGCAGGGTTTGGTGGTATGCCGCGCTCTTGGGCTAGGACCGGAGAGTAGGAATCTACCTCATGATGTCCCTGCCACGCTATGCTCGCTCACCCAAAGCCCCTTGAAGACCTCCAACCCCTCATCCCACCAGCAGAAAAATGGTTGGAACCCCACCTCCCGCCCTCGATGATGTTGCGCATGTTTCCGCGCCCCAGCACCCCATCCCCGCGGTAGCACTTTGTCGTAGCTCCATTCCAGATCCATGCCCGAATGTACGTCGACTAGCAGGTAAACAAATAGTGGCACGAATGCAGTCCGCGTTAATACATGGGCCCCGATGACGTTCAGCGCGAAATTGGCCAGGAGTATCAACGCTAACCGCTCAGCCACGGAAAGCTGGTTCGTGACCTGTGGGTGCATTTCGCCATGAGTGTGGTGCGGCCGGTGGATGGAGGCGAGGCCAGGGATCCGGTGGAAGGCGATGTGGATGAAGAAGAAGAGCGCGTCATAGAGGAAGAATGACGCCACCAGTTCGAAAACAAGACGACGGCTGCTTGGGGGATTTACGGGGATGGCGCGCCACAGCTGGAGTGGGGAGGAGATTGAGAAATTGTGCAGTGTGGGCCGCAGGAAGGAGGAGCTGATATTCCCGTCTGTCACTAGTGGGCAATAGCCCCCTGTTTGCCTGATGGCGGCCACAGGGACTCCGGCGTACTTCTTAATAAGTGTGAAGTCCAATGTCAACAGTGGGGCGGCGTAGGTTGCTATTTCACCCATGCGGCGCGAGGGCCGGCGCATGCGTGGCCGCTTGGGAGGGTTACGGGCGTCGAACTCGGCGCTTTGAGGGCCGCGGACGTCGATGCGCAAATGCGGGTTGTGGACGAATTTGACGGTGTACATGACTTCGATGAGCAGGTAAAATAAGATGGTTTCCAGCGTCTCGAAGCCGGAGAAGCGGTAAAAGGCGGATTGCGAGAGGAAGTGGTAAAGAGTCGAGAGGAATGGGGAGTGTAGAGAAGGAAGAAGTATTGCTGTCGCAAACGCGGTTCCTAGGACAAGACGGGGGAGGAATACGGATGTGCGAGGGTCTGGAGGCATGGTCTGATTGGCAGGAAGTAGGCGCAGTCAATTTCAAGAAGTCACAATGGCGGTACCTGGGCTGGCACTGGATTAGAATGAGGGGGAAGGAGGAATGATGCTACGACGGAGATCCAGTACCATTAGCCGAGGATAGAAGTGTTGGGTTCAACCGTATCGGAGCTGCTACTTGACGGTGACGACATCAAAGCTATCAGTAGTAACGTACAGCTAATTACAGTGGTGTGTCACTGCCCGCGTACTTTCGCTTCCTGCCGAATGTCGATGAATTCTTTTGCATCGACTTATTAGACGATGCTTAACGCGGGGTCGGCGGGGTCGGAAATAGGCGAGCCCGGTGTTGCCAAACACCGGTACACCTAGTACGAGTAGAGTAAGTGTATATTCCACTGTGCTGTCACAAATGACAGCATAGATAAAGAACCATGATCCGAAGCAGGTGGCATTAGGATATTCTATAAGAAGTCTTAAATTAGTCCTTTAGCAATTTCTACAGGATTCCTTGTTCCTTGAACGTTGCTCTTATAGCTAGAATTTCGACTATGACAGTACTAGCACTTATGACATTCCCCCACCTCACACCAGCACTGCTCCCCTTTCCAGTCGAAATCCACGCATGGACACCTCCAGCGGGCCTCTCGCCCTGGCCTCCCAACTACCCTTAGCCGGGTCCCTGACCGTCTACCCTCTCCTCTTCTTCCTCATCACGCCTCGCACCGCCACGCCTTCTCGCTTCGACAAGTCTCGCGAGGCCATTTCCGCCTTCCACTGCACTCTCGTCACGTGTCTATCAACATACGAACTCTGCAGGAGGCGGGACGACTGGTATCCTCGTCCATCTTCTGCTCGCCCCCCCATTCAACTGGAAGATACTCAGCCTGATGCTGGACAAGGCGGTGCGTACGACGGCGCAAAGCTAAGAATCATTCAAGCGCGCTCCACTCTTGGCAACAGCATCACTGCGCTCGAGACAGGGTATCTTTTGCAAGATGCTGTAATCTTAGTTCTGGCTGCGTGGTTGCGAAGACAGCGAACAGGCGGGAGCACGAAGGCCGTGTTTGACGGTATCAGGTGGCGCGTGCTAGCCTGGCACCATGTTGGGCTTGCAAGCGCTTTGGGCCTGCTGCAATGGTATATCCTTCGCGGGAGCGAGAAAGGTATCTTGGTAATTACTATGCTCATGATGATGAATGCTTCGTGAGTTGCCGCTTCTTTTTTGTCGGCTGCCTAGGATGAGGGCTAAAGGAGTTGGATGTCTAAGGAGCGCACGCTAATCTAGAATCTTGAAATACCAGAACGCCGGTTGGGACGTTACACTGGTATCTCTATAACTTCCGGCGCTCATGGCGGCTTACCATTCTGGCGGTGAACACTACGTATCTTGCGACGTATGGTCTTTGTCGAGTTTATCTTGTTTACTGGATTTTACACGTCTTTGGTTTTCACACAGGGCACTCGGCAATAGAAACATTCAGAAGACTACGCTTACCCTGTCAAATGGGTACAGGCGCAATAGGAATTACAAACACTATTTGGCTGATCTTGAGTCTGAGGCAATTCAAAAGACGATACCTGACTGGGGAGTCCTGGAAGAAAGGTCTATGAAACACTCTTGAGCGTCAAGTACAAATCGTGATAGCCTACCAGCCACAAGAGCATCACTCAGAACCTTGGGGTTCCCGGTGCACGCTACAGCCTATCTGACCTAGCCACGACCACGATGTACAAGAATGCGTATGGCCTCCTTTGGCCTCTGACATGGTAATTGCTTCAAGTCTCTCGCAAAGGCATCTACACCAACGCCGCTGTCCCAACCCAACCAGCCTCTAACACCCTCAGCAGCAACGGAGCCCTCAAGCCTGATATCAGCATCTACAATCTTCGTCGCAACAGTGCTGATTATATGTCTAATCACGCCTCTTCCAAGACACACTTTTGGTCCGGATCCGCCAAACGCAAAGTTGTCCCTGGTCTCGTTGGCTGAGATAAATCTCTCCGGAAGAAATGTATCCGCCAGCTCGTACGCTGCCGGATCTCGCCCCGCGCTCACAAAATAGAGCCATACGTCCCAACCAGCAGGAACCAGTATAGGAGGTTGGCCCTCAGGGGCTGCAAGAATGACATCCTGCTGCGCTCGACGCATGATACCGACAACAGGCGGGCTGAGTCTTTCGGTCTCTAACAAGATGCTGCTCAAAAGGATTTGGCCGTTTTGGGAGCCTTCTTTTCGAACGCGTGACGCCAACGTGGGCTCGCATGGCAGCAGAAAAAGATTGAGCAAGCTCGCGGTCAAGAGAGACGCCAGCGCTTTGACTGCGATAGAGCTTGTGAATAATATCGCGTTGGACGCTAGTTCATCCTCATCAATCTTACCTTTCTGCAGGAAGGGACAGCCCTTGTCTTGTTGAGAGATATGATCTTTTAGTAGCTTTTGAAGTTCGCGCCGCGCCTCTATAGCTTTGGAGCGTGGCGAGCGCCAGAATGGGGTGTGTATGGACACGGGAAATAGAGAAAATTGGCCCCGCAGGAGCTTCTCTTGCAGGGATTCCACGACGGAGTACTTCTTGTCCGTCAAGCGTAGCTGCAGAAATATATATAGGAGCACTCGCCATGACAGATCCTTCATGCTCTCGTAAAGGTCGATTGTGCTTTCTGATGGCCAGCTTTTGATATGATCGTCTACAATCTCTTGCACCTCTATGGATGTCTCTGCGGGGATGGATGACAGTTGTTCGTCCCACGCTTTCCGCTTCGCAGCATGGTCCGGTGAATCTAATAGGAGTATGTTGGGAGGGGGGAAGAAGTCTGACATTAATTCATGGTATGCAGGTCGGATTGCAAACGTGTTGGGCCCGATCATCTCCCCCATTGTAATAGCCGTCACTGTCTTCTGTGGCTCTCCGTTCCCAACCCGCAGGATATCTTCGCAGAGGCGATGAGAAGAGACGACGGCTACGTTACGGTTGAGGATTCTTGCACGAACCACGGTAGGGATTTGGGAGGCCGTCTCCTCTTTCCCGGCTGCGTTTGATGAATGTAGAGCTGCTGTATTTCGTGCGCGAGTTGAGATGAAGGACTCAGGCGAGGAATGAAACGAGAGGCTTTGTGAGAGGGCGGAAATAAGGGAAGAATCGCCCTGGGGAAGTCGCGGGAGCATGTTTTCTGGCATTACTGGAACGAATGAGTCTTGTAGTGAAGTCTCGTCGGGTGGGGGAGACGACAGGAAATCGATTCCTGCGTTAAGCCCATATTTTGCCGCTACTCAAACGGGAGATCCAGAGGCGATACGAAGGTTGGGCCAATTACTGTTAGGGTGGTGGCACCAGTGGTATTGTTGTTGTTGATATCTAAAGGCGATCTGGACTCTGGAGAAATATTGCCAATGTAGCATCTAGCGCGGAAAAACGGCAGCCACTGTTGGTTTTGACGGCTTATCCGATAAACGCCGAGAGGCAACAAATTATTTTCTCCGTATTATTATTTCGATTACTATCCTATTATATTAATATAACTAATAAATATTATCTAGATCTATTATATAGAGTCTAGTATATTATTTTTTTTTAAAAAAAATTTTATAAAATTTTTTTTTAAAAAAAAAAAAAAAAATTTAAAAAAAATTATATTTTTTTAAAAAAAAAAAAAAAAAAAAATATAAAAAAAATTATTAAAAAAAAAAAAAAAAAAAAAAAAAAAAAAAAAAAAAAAAAAAAAAAAAAATTTTTTTTTTTTTTTTTAATATTTTAATATTTTAGCGATATTAGTATATACGAGTAAAGGCCTATAAATTAAATTCATAAACATTTTTTTTAATCAGGGCTATCGAGTAAATAGGTGAGCGATCTTTGGTGAGCGAACTTTGATAAGCGATATTTGAATTCCTTACGCTTTAATAATTATAAGACTAAATTTAAGAAAAAGAAAAAAAAATTCGAAAGCATATATTTTATTCTATAATTTAAAAAAAAATTCTTAAAATTATAATAGAAAATAAAAAAGTTATTCTAAAATCAAATAATGTGTATCTGTTTTTTAATTAGGGCTGTCGGCTGTCGAGCGAACTTTGGTAAGCGAACTTTGATGAGCGATATTTGAATTCCTTGCGCTTTAATAATTATAAGATCAAATTTAGAAATTCTTTTCTTATCTGAAAGCCTACATTTTATTCTACAATTTAAGAAAAAATTCTCAAAATTTTAATAGAAAATAAAAAAGTTATTCTATGTATTAATAATATATATCTATTTTTTTAATAAGAGAGACATACGGAGAGTAGTATCAAAAGTTCTATATATACGCTAAATCTCTTAGCATACTTAGCAAATATTCTAAATATTTTAAATATTCTTAATATTACTACTTTTTACTTAATAGCGATATTAATACTATATATATAAGATATATATATATAAAGTATATATATATAAAGTATATATATATAAAGTATATATATATAAAGTATATACGCGTTATAGCGATATTATAATTATATATAAAGAGTATATTTATTAAATTATAACGTTAATACTAAATATATTAGTCTATAAGAAAAAAGAGAGAATTTTAAAACTTTATATTATATATAAAGTTCTTAATATAGCTATAAAAAATAATCCTCTCTATATTCTCTATATTAAAATATTTATAGATAAAGCTTAAGCTATTAATTATAATAACGATATCAAATTTTAGATACTTACTTTAATTAAAGCTAATATTATAATTTAAATTATTACTACTATTACCAAGATCTCCCGCTTTATTATTAATCATCTATAGAAATAAGCCTATAATAGAGGATTTAATTTCAATAAGTCTTAAAAATTATTACTATTATATATAAATAATATATCGAGATTTAAATAACTCTTAATTATTATCTCCGAGGTTAAGAGTATTATTATAGTCGCTATATAAAGAAATTACTATAATTATAAAAAAACCTTATTTATATTAGCTACTAAATAAGGACTCTCGTTAATAACGATTCTATATATACTCAAATAGAATAATTTTCGACCCTATAAGATTACTAAAAAACTCTCTCTTATAAAAGTTATAATGAAAGCTTGATATTAATTCGCTTTATAGTATTAAGACTAGATTATAGAGTACTAAAAGAAGGTAATTTAAAGTAATAAAATTAATATAATCTTAAATTCTCGACGGGGAAAAGTGCGTATATAGCGGTAATTTAATAAAATCTTTATTAAATCTACTATACGACGTCGTTTCGTAGATACTATAGAGTTTATATTCTAGGGTTATTTCTTATATAATAAAAAGAGACTATATTATATTTGAAAAGTCGAAACTATAACTAAAAAGAAAGAATATATCGCGAATCTCGCTTAAATTAATAATACTCTAAAAGCTAAGGTTAAAGAAGCTTAGGAATTTAAGATTAATATATAATAAATAGGTCTACGAAATCTTTTTAATAAGAAACTCGAGTGGAAGTTTACTATTAAGATTAGAAAAGTTATTATTAAAGAAAAGAAGAGGGGAATTAATTAGTATCGCTACCAGAAAAAAGTATATATACTTATATTTCTTATACTTCTCCTTCTTACTAGATATAGATTCTTATTTTAAAGCTTCTAAAATTCGCTTAAAAATATAAATAAGAGCGACTTAATATAATAGTTATAAAAGATAAAACCTCGACTTATATATTAAAGTATTAGAAAGTAGTTTATATATTAATAAATATTATTCGAATAGTCTAATATAATAACTCTCTAAATCTTAATATAATCGAGTCTTATTAATTATAGATAAAGTATTAAATTACTTAAAAAGATATATTAAGAACTTATAAAGATATTAAGAAATAATAATTATATTACTAAAATTACGAGCTTATATAAAAGAGGATTTAGAAGTAAATAGAGTAAATATCGAGATATATTATAGAGGTTATTTATCTTAAGAGCGATAACGAGTATAGAAAAAGTCGTAAGAGAGATAATATATAGTTCTATAACTTTATAAAGCGAGTAAATAAGTATATACGTAGTTATATAAAGCATCGTTACTAGAAAAATAAAGCTATTTAAGAAAAAGATTAGATTTATTAAAATGCCAAGTATATTAAGAGATTTAGCGCATATATAGAACTTTTAATATCACTCTTTATAGAAGAGCGAGATTTTGATAATTATAGACGCTAATTTATTTATTTATAATAAGTTAGTCGATCTAATTAAAAAGCGTAGCGAATTTAAATTTATAATTAACTATATATATAAATTTAAGATTTTTAAGCTTAGCTCTATCTTATTCTATTATTAATATATATAATAGAATAAGATAGAATTAAGCTTAAAAATCTTAAATTTATATATATAGCTAATTATAAATTTAAGATTATTACGCCTTTTAATTAAATCGATTAAGTTATTACGAGTAAATAAATTAATATTCGCAATTATTAAAAAAATATCGCTTATTAAAGTTCGCTCGATAGTCTTAATTAAAAAATAGATGTATATTATTCGAATTTAGAATAACTTTTTTATTTTCTATTAAACTATAAAACGTAATATAGACTTTTAGATGAAAAAAAAATTCAAAATTTAGTCTTATAGTTTTTAAAGATAAGGAATTTAAATATCGTCTATTAAAAGTTCGCTTAACAGCTCTAATTAAAAAATAGATATACATTATTTAATTTTAGAATAACTTTTTTATTTTCTATTAAAATTTTAAGATTTTTCTTTTAAATTATAGAACGTAATATGGGCTTTCAAATAAAAAAAGAATTATTAAATTTAGTCTTATAGATATTTAAAGATAAGGAATTCGAATATCGCTTACTAAAGATCGCTTATTAAAATTTACTCGACAGTTCTAATTAAAAAAAAGATTATGAATTTAATTTATAGACCTTTACTCGTATATTATAATATAATATATCTATAAAATTATAAAATAAAATAATATATATATAAAATATCTCGATTAGAATTTCTATATTTATAAAATAATTCGATTAAGATATATAGAATATATTTATTATTCTTTATTAAGAGAGAGAGAATATAAAATAATTTAATAAAATAATTTAATATAATAATTTATCTTTTTACTAATAGTAATAATTAGAATAATAATAATAATTATAAATATTTCTATTCTTCTTCTTAAAATTATAATATAAAAAAATATTTCAAATTTTAAATCTTTAAATCTTTTAAGAATAAAATTCTATAATTATCTTTATTTATATATTTATTTTAACGTATCAAATAAACTTAATAAACTTTATATTTATTCTTCTCTCAAATTCTTTATTACTCTTTTATTTTATTTTATTATAATTTTTTTAAATACTTTAAATCTATCTTTATCTAATAATTAGGTTTTAATATATTAATGTTAAGGATTTAGCGTGCTTTAGGATTTCTTTGGGGGTGCACGGGCGGGGTTTCCGGCAGGTGGCCTTTTTGGCCTTCCGGGCGGGGCTTTTTGGTGGGGTGGCGGTTTTACAGCTCTATAGCCTAGTACCTTAACGAAGGCATCTCCTACTATATTATACCTCCTTTCTATATATATAGTTTAATAGCCTTATTATTCTATTCTACCTTATTTATATAATATGCCTCTATACTAGTTCTAAAATTAAACTTATTAATTATTTATAAATAAATTCGCTTTTTAAGTTATTTTAAATCTTTTTATTAAGATTAAATTTATTATTACTAATTCTCTCTAATTATAAATTTATTAATTATTTCTTTATATATTATAAATTATTAGCGATATATCTTAATAAATTTATAAATATTAAATTTATTAAAGTACTTTTTATAAGCTTATTATCTTCGTTAATATAATTATTATAATTATTAATTAAATTTTTATATAAAGTATTATTAGCTTTTTTAATCTAATTCGATATATTAAGATCTTTTTTAAAATTAAATTTAACTTATTTAAATTTATTTTTTTAATATTTTATATAAAGAATTATTATTAGAATATAAAAATTATTTTTAATAAATGATATTTTTAAATATTATAATATCTTTTAAATATTATAATATCTTTTAATTATTAAGAAATATTATTTATATATAATAACTTTTATAAGAGAATAAAGAATATTATAAGCTATTTAAGCGATTATAATATATTTAATTTAATTTTTTTCTA